AAAGCTTGTTGTGATAAACAGCTTCTAAAATCTCTGGTTAACAGGTAGAATCTGCTTTGCTTATCTTTGGAGATCAGAGGAGAGGCAGGCTACTTCTCAGCAGAGTTTGTTTCCCTTGACTCCAAAGGTCAAGGTGAGGTCCCTGTTGGGGAGGGGGGAAACTGCTGCTATTTGGAAACCTAACAACAAGCTTAACATCATTCCAAAACAAAACACACAAGGGCACTGGCAAGATGGTTCATCAGGTAAAGGGTCTTACTGACAAGCCTGACAACCTGAGCTCTATCCTCAGGACCCACATGGTGGGAGGAGAAAACGTTGTCATCTAACCTCCAAACACTGTGGCACCTACATGTGCACACACACACATAAGTACATTGACGAGGCTATCTCAGCCTTTTTTTTTTTTCTTTTTTTGGTCTTTTTGAGACAGGGTCTCCCTGTAGCTCCAGCTGCCCGGAACTCACTCTGTAGACCAGGCTGGCCTTGAACTCACAGAGGATCCACCTGCTTCTGCCTCCTGAGTGCTGGGATTAAAGGCGTGTGCCACCATGCCCGGCTATCTCAGCCTTTTACAAGAGCTTCTATGGTAATATATTTTTCACCAAGTATTGGGAAGGTTCTTCCCAATTGTTAGAGGAAGGCTGTGCCAAATTAAATATCGAATTGGCTTTTGGCATGAAGACGTTAACTAAAACTAATTTTTGATCTGTTGCAACAGGCAGATCTGCTTGTTGGCAGGGCTGCTCTTTCTTGACGTGTCTCTCATCTTGCCAGCAGAAAGAGTTCAGCATCTTGTAAGCAGCTGATGAATATTTAACAGACACTATGGATTATGTATCTGATAATGACTCCCTCATCTGACTGGCCACTTACAAGGATCTGTCTTATTGTCAATTACCATCCAGTTACCTAACACCTGGAAGCATGCAGGATTTTGTGGAGTACCTTTATTTCCTAACCTGACCATGTGAAAGCCAGAGGTTGACATCAGGTATCTTCCTCAGTTGCTCTGTGCCTTTTTTAAAAATTTTGAACTTGCTATGTAGACCAGGCTGGCCTGGAACTCACAGAGAACCGCCTGCCTCTGCCTCCCCAGTGCCGGGATTACAGGAGTGTGCCACCATGCCCAGCTTCTATACTATTTTCTTTGTCTTTATTCTCCCTCATGTATATTTAACTCTCTGTTGCTGAATCATGTGCATCTTTGTAAGCTATCCTCAGTCCTTCCCAAACAGCACACATAAGTAAGTACATAGGTACTGTGTTGATTGTAGGCATCCTGGTATCATTTTAGTGGAGCACTATGAGTACTGGTATGTTAATGTTGTTACCTTTTAAAACATAGAGACCTGTATATGGAAAAAACTATATATCAAATCCCAGAGTTCCTAGATAAAACAAAACAAAACACTTCCCTGAATCACACTGAGGGAAATCTGTTGGCTCTGACTCCCTCTGCGCTCTGTGTCTCTGGTTCAGAGTTAAGTTGTGGAAGGACTGGAGTACTTTGTTCCTGGAAGGTACGGCAGCCAAGAAAGAATTAAGTTCACACTTCCTCCTGGTGCTGTGGCTTTCTGCTCCCTGCCCTGCTAACTGGTGCCAAATAGTTTCAAAGGAACCCAAGAGGCAGTCTAGTGCCACAGCTGTCCATCCTTCTAATGGGAATCCTGCCCTGTGTCAGCAGATCCTGTGAAGTAGACAAAGGAGGTGAAAATGATTGGAAGCTAAAAGCTTTGGGCTGCAGCCATTGTCTCCATTCTGTTGAAAGTAGACTGCCAAGTGCCAGCCCATCTATTGTAGTATCCCACCTTCCACAGATGAGGAAAATGCAGCAGAAGGCTCCAGCTGTATTCACACGATGCCTCA